TTTACCATATAATCCTCCTATGATTTAACACTTTATTATATAACCCTATTATGGTTTTCAAAATAATTTTTAACTTTACACATAATCCCCCTGTGGTTAATAAATAATTTTCAACTTTACATAGAGGTATTTTTGATATTTTAGGTGATTCCGTTATGGATTGCAAATTTCGTTACTTTGATACTTTAATCCAAACCATGAGGGGATTATGTGTAACTTTTGAAACTATATGGGATTTATGTACAAAAATACTAAATCACAGGGAGATAAAGTGTAATTTGCCCTAAATTATAAAGAGCAAAATTGATTCCGCAACACAACAATTAACTTCACATGTAGTCTTTCAAAATATGTTACAAAAAAAACATCTAGGATGCCATTGATTATTTGGTTTTAGGTAAGTGAAACTTTTCAAATCTAGGAGACCCTTGATTGTTTGGTTATAGGCGATAGAAATTAAATTGACAATTATTTTCTACACTATTTCTCGTCATATAATGGATGAAATAAATATTTCACTTTTATAAACATTGAAATAAATTAGTTATATACTATTACTAAGACCACGGGCTTCTAAGTAAGCATTCTTTCTTGGGATTTGGAATCGATTCAATTAGAGTTAGAGCTACTCATATTTGACTCCAACTTGAGAATTTTTGAGCTGGTTTAATTCTTTTTTTCGGGCCACATAGACAGGGCAAGATTATTTACATGTTTTAAGGTTAAGATTTATACAAACGTGGACTTGATCCACCTGCTTGACTAGGAAATCTATCCCAAGATTTTAATCACCCAATTGGAGTTTCACTTCTCCATAATATAGACTAGGTTAATGTTCCTGTCAAATGCATTCTACTAGAGGAGTCTTCACAATGACAATAACGCAGCATTGCTCTCCTATTTTGGTCCCCTACCCCAGTCTCATAGGTAGGAGTGTAAAATAGTTTAAAAGAGTTAAATTGTTTTCAAATTTTACTTGTTTATTTATTGAATCAAATTCAAACTAGCTTTATCAAGTCAAACTTGAGTCAAATTCAAATAATTTCATCTTTTACATGTAAAGTTTATTTTTGTATTAATTGCGTTAAATTCGAGCCGAGTTTAAAAGTTTACTGAACATAGAACACATGCCGTTCAAATTTTGTTTGATCAATTGGCAAACCAAGTTTAATCAAACTCTTATCAACTTGAACTCCTTTGAATATTGAGTAGTTTTTTTTAATAATATAAGTGAGAGGATTCAAATTCAGGACCTCTCAATTGCACTCTTTTCCTCCAAACCATCCAACCCTTTCCCTCTCCCATCTCCCACATCACAAATATTGAGTAATTTAGTTCATTTTCAAATTGCACTAGTAGGTTTCCACTTATGTCTACCTTTTATTCTATTTATTTCATGAGCATCATTAAATTTACATCACATATGTACATGAAAAATTATTTTGTGAAATAATCAAAGTTTGACCTTAAAATTCAAAATACAATAACAAATTGCACAAAAAAAAAATCACACAAACATATAGCTTGACATATAAAAACATCAATTGAGTAAGTCGAGTCTGATGGGGCAAGGGATGGGACGAGCTTCAACTCGCATGGAAAAGCGTTTTCCCCAATAATAGGCAACCACATCCATTGCCATCATGTCTTGCTTTAGTGATTGAAGTCCACTAAATAACTGAATTTTACTTGTACGGGTTTAGATAGAGTATTGCTAACCAACGATGAAGAAGCTTGAGGGATTGCTTTACGAAAAGTTAGAGACATGATTTCTGGGAGTTTCTAAAATTTCTTTTGAATATCATATGCTCATTTCAAATTCACTGTTAAATGGTAAAATAATAAATCACTACAACTGAAAAAATTAACATTTAATCCACTATCATCATCTTAAAACAATTGTACCTTAAAGGAACTATAGAGTTTCCCCACTTTATAAGATGAGGAGAGGGTAAAAAGTTAGGAAATAATTAAAGATTAAAGAGTGTGCACCGTCAAGATAGATTGCATGGTTGGTATTTTATAGCATATCGTTATTCCACACAACTGAATAAATTTCTTTTGAATATCACGTGCTCATTTTAAATTCACCGTTAGATGGTGAAATAAGTATTCTTTACTCCTAAATTATATGGACTAGAAAATTTTAACGTTTAGACCACTATCGTCATCTTAGAGGAAAAGCACCTTAAAGAAACTATGAAGTTTTCCTTGATTTATAAGATGAAGAGGGAAAAAGAGATGGGGGACAAAGATTAAAGAGCGTTCACCACTTCCTTTTATTATCAAGATGAATTTAGGGTGCATTTGATAAACTTTAAGTTTGAAAACTAAAATATAAAATTTAAAATTTAAAATTTAAATTACTTCTTAAGTAGTAAATTTAATGTATTTTATTGTATATCACATTAAGTGATAAGTGAATGACTTATCACTCAATTTTTTTAAGCTAAGTTTTGCTTAGAAAATTAAGTGTACTACTTAATTAATTTATGTTGACACTTTAATCCCAACTATAAAGGGATTATATATAACTTTTGAAACTATAGGGGATTATGTGAAAAATTATTAAATTATGAGGGATAAAGTGTATTTTGCCCAACACTATACGTGAAACCCAAATAATGATCTAATCACAAAACTCACTTTATCCATCAAACTTTCATCAAATAAAACTATAACAACTTAAAAATGAAAGAGGTTACCTCAAATAGTAAACAACGAAGAGTTCCCAATATCCCAATCACCCCGTTGATTTTGATCCTCCAAGAATGCCATTTGATTGGAAGAAAGAAGAAGAAGATTGGAGACTCGGTAGAAGAAGGAAAGAATCAAGGAAATGATAAAGCTTCTAGAATAGTAGAATCCCACTACAAATTTACATCTTCCAATATTTTATTTAAATACACTCCCACCCCACAACTTTCCTAAGCTTCTCAATTTCACCCAAACTACTTAAAATCCCATAATAGCAAAGTTGGGCATGACCAGAAAGAATGTCAGTTGAAGCTAACTGAGTATCTTTTGCAAAATGGAAAAGGTTTGAAGAAGATGATTGTTGGTCATATTCTAATGCCTTCAGTTTGTAGAAGAAATTGTCATTCAAGAGCGGCTCCGAAGATTACCAAATTGTGTTTTTTTTTTTGAATCAATTACCAAATTGTGTTAGACGAAGCTAAGAAATATTATGGCCATGTCAGCGAAGATCTTTAACTTATAGAAGGGATAGATTCTGTCTGTCAGAGAAGTAGATATTCATAGGTTATAACTTGTTTTTCATCTTCTGTTTGCAGAAATGATTTCCTACAACAAAGCCAAGTATGGTCTTGTCTAATATCAAGAGCACAACATCATCCTATGTGCTTACTGTGAAGCAATATACGTTATGGAAAACCATTTTTTTGCTGTTTGCTAGATTGCATTTGCTCTTGCTTTTTATGCAAATTGGGTAGCTGTGAAACTGTTGGAGGAAACTTGGTCTAAATTTATGTGAAGCCACAAATTATTAAGATCAAAAATCATTCTGCAACAATTAAATTCACGTGTAGTCTTTTGGGATAGGCTATTAAACACATCTAATAGTCCAGCGGGACACACTCGAGTGTTTGATTGTAGGGTATGCGAAATAGCTGAAATCTAGCTGAAATCATTTGGCTAGAACCTATAGGCGCTAGAAAATCCGCTGATATCGGTTTACTAAACTGCTTTTCCCCGGAACAAGGGCAGGAATGGTTGTACCTGCAATCGTTTCTGATAGTTATGTGTATTTTATACACGATATAATTTACTTTTAATAATGTGTAATTTTAGAATAAAATTTTATGATTCTCATATATGTTGTTAAAATCGAGATAAAAGATGAAATTTGGACAGTATCTGCCCCTCTTCCACTTTTCCCCATCATGTGATGGTTAAAGTAGGCATTTCACCTTCATAAGTATTAAAACAAATTAAATATATATTATTACTGCTTGGAATGGACTTTGGAGATATGTTTGTAGGTCTGTCAATGGATTGGGTCTAGACCCAAATCCGGATTGGATCCATCAATTTATTTCGGGTATGGATAGGGATTTAATTCCATTATCCGGATTCGGATCCAAATTCATTTTGTCAAACAGAACAATGGGTCGGATCCGAAAATAAATAAAATAATAATTCAAATAATATAAATTTATCAATATAATTTGATTAGGGTGATGTATTTGAATAAGGTCAATTTGATTTCTTTTCTTATTTGATTTTTTTTGTCTTAGTTAGAAATTAGTTTACAAATATATTTTTTTCTCATTTTTGTTAAAAATTGTAAGATTTGATAGATTTTTTTCGGATAAATCAATCCGAATCCAAGACCCATCGAATTCGGATCCGGAATATGAAGTATAAGACGCGTCAGATAAATGGATCCGATCCAAGTCCTATATATTATGTATTATTCCAGATCAGGACCCAACCCATTAACAGACCTATATGTTTGGATTCAAACTTGATTTGAATGTTTAATCGAGCTACTCAAATTCGGTTCGCATCTCGTTCCCCAATTTGCCCCTTGCTCTCGGCTTCTCAACTTGTATGTCCCCAATTATACGACCTTTTATTCATTTTCATAACAAACCACTAGATTTACATCACATCTGTACATGAAAAAGTAATTAAACAAATACTATTAAACTTCAAATGCCAATCTTTGACCTAAAGCATACATATGGTGCTTGGAAATTCTTGTGCTGCTGCTTCTGCTTCAGCGGCTAGTTTCTGAACACTATGGCTTCTCTGCAACTCGAAGCAATCAAGGGTTTCATATATCTCGGGTGTTTCTTGTTCCAGCTTTTCCTTTACTTTTCTCTTCTGTTGCATGCCCTTGTCTACAGACTCAGAAATTCAGCTGATATTTGTGTTGGCAAAAGATCCCTTTTCCCTTTATAAGCTCTGTTTTGGGAAAATTGACTAAAACCCCATTTGATCTTTTTCAGTAATCAAGAGAAATAACAGCATAGTTAATGATGATGAAAAGCACCCCAGGCTCAGATGTTGGTAGTGTTGATAGGATCAGTGCCCTTCCAGACCCTCTTATTTGCCACATTTTATCGTTTCTCCCACTGAAAGAATCTGCAGCCACCTCAGTTCTATCCACCAGGTGGAAATTCCTTTTTGCTTCACTTGCTGATATTGATCTCCAATTCAAGTCAACTTATAGGCCTAATGTCAGAAAATCTGTCCTTGAGTTTATTGATAGTCAAAGGCTCATTAAGTTCTTATATCTTGCCTGGCGAATACTTCAATTCCGAGATGGGGTTCCCATTACAAAACTTACACTCTCCGTTTTCTGGATTTATGAAATGGTTGATAAAAAGTTCCGATCGCTAATTGACTCGTGGATATCTGCTGCACTTTTGTTTAATGTTCAAGAACTTAAAATATTTGTCTCAATTCGACATTATGCAATAAATTGTCCCGGAATTTTCGCGTGCAAAACCTTAGTTTCTCTGCGACTACTGGTGGTTTCTACAGAAGTCCCCAGTTTAGTGGTTTTACCAAATCTTAAGGTGCTTCACATGTCGTTAAAGGGACAAGTTGTTGATTCTGTTCGAAGGCTTATTCAAGGTTGCCCTCTGCTTGAAGAACTGGATGTAGCATTAGACTTACAATCTGTGAAGGATGAGGAGACTAATGATGCTGAAGCTGATGTAGTTGATTTCAGTGGTCCTTCGATCAAAAGATTGAGAATTGAACTGTGGGGAGGTGACTGTACTGTTCTTGTGGATTCAGGTGTTCTGGAACATTTGGCATATGGTGCTCCTAGACATGATGGCGAGCATCAGGTCATCTTCAATGTTCCAAACCTTACACATTTGTCCTACTCTGCACCTGCAATTGGAGTTAATTTCATTCAAAACCTAAACTCTCTTGTTGAAGCGAGTATAGGAGCTGGATTGTGCAAGGATCAACTAAACAGTCGTGATGCTATTGTTCATCTTATAAGGGTGAAAACAGTGAAATCACTTTCCTTAGGACAGGACTTTCTGGAGGTACGTTGTCTTCTAATAATTTATTTAGGTGTTCTCTATAATTTCATGATGTCATATATTCAGATGATAAATCCTTATTGCTCTGGTTCATTTCCATGAAGGCTCTCTATGATTCCCAAGATTTCCTGCCGATTTTCAAGAATTTGACGAGCCTGACGCTTGTAGGCAGCTGCTATCCTGATGAAACTGACCATATCCTTTCTTGGAAAGCGTTAGCTAGCTTATTTGGGAAGGCCCCTAGCCTTGAGGCTCTCACTTTTTCGAAGGTAAATATGATGCTGTGTTTTATCCCAAAAACCGTTTCATTAGGCTTTGCAGTTTAATCTTCTCGAATGGACAGGTGTGTTTGGGCAATGTCATTGAGAACGAAGAATTGGAGTGCTTGTTTTCAGAGGCTCTCCCCATATGCTTCATCAAACTTCTGAAGGAAATTGAATTTAAGTTTCTTTACAAGGAGGAAGAAGAATGTCAATTGAAGCTGATTGAGTATCTTTTGAAAAATGGGAAAGCTCTAAAGAAGATGACTGTTGGTCATCTTCTGATGCCTTCAGTTTGTAGAAGAATATTGTTATTCAAGAGAGGCTCTGAAGATTGTGAAATCATATTAGACGAAGCGAAGAAGTATTTTGGCGATATCTGTGGTGATCTCCAAGAAACCTCAAGGAAGGGATAGATTCTCTTTGTCAGAGAAGTAAATATTGCCAGGTTATAACTTTTTTTTGTGTTTCGCATGCTGAAATGATGTACTACAAGAAACCGAAGCGTGGTCTTGTACAGCATTGTGTACCGCATCTTCCTATGTGCCTACTGTGTAGCAATCTATGGGTTAAGGAAAACCGGTTTTTGCTGTCTGCTAGATTGGTTTCATTCTCACTTTTTATTGAAATGGGATGTTAATAGACAGCTTGCAGTCATGAAGTTTTTGGGAAACGCTTGGTCTAAATTTATGTGAGCCATCAATTAAAAACAGCAAATTCATTCTGCGACGACTAACTTCACCTGTAATCTTTGACAGATGCTATTTAAAACATCTAGGAGACCCTTGAGTATTTGGTAATAGGGTATGCAAAACTGTTGAAATCTAGGAGACCCTTGATTATTTGGTTATAGCCTTAGGTAATAGAAAATCCATTGAAGTCTGCTTTATACTTTACTTTTCCTTGACATATAGCTATAGTCTTCCGGATCTGTTGATAGGTTATAATTTGTTACTACATTTATAATTATTTTTCCACTTGATTTTAGCCAAATATTGTTTTAATTGTCGAATTCTACTTATATTTGATTAATAGTGCCAATTGTAGGAAAAGGAGCAAAACGTGATTAAAAGTGACAATTTTCCAATTCATTGGATGGTGGCACGTTTGGGGTTGGTTTCTAAGTCCGAGTCGAATTCAAAGCAATTTTTGAAGGAAGATTTTGAAGATTTTAATCTTCATTATTAGTTTTAATATTGGATTAGAAAACTTGGAATATTTTCTTTTATGGTTTCTTTTCCTATTTAGGAGATTAGTTTTATTTGCTAGTAGACTTCAATTAGGAAACAAAAAATAATAAGAGAAGCCAGATTCCCGTTTGATTAGGACTTCAGCCAAAAAAACAAGAAAAAGAGCCGTGACTCTTTGGGAAAAGGAGAAGGCCGGATCCCGCGTGATTAAGAGTTGAAGGCAGCAACAAATCCGGGAGGAACAATTCGGCTGGGACTTAGGTCTTTGCATTTTTTCTTTTTAGCCGACCTTGGGGAGGACAATTGCTTTGATTTTGATTTTCATCTTTGACTTTTCTTCCGTGGCCGATTTGGCCAGGAACAATCTTGTAAACTTCAGGTAGCTCTTTCGCATGGTTGTTCTCCATTAATGGACGACTAACCTCCTAATTCTAGTCAAGGGAACAACTGAAGACTTGGTTCAGCATTTACTGTGAGATCGAAATTATTTTAATCATTTCCTCATTTATTGGTATTTATGTGTTTCTTGTTTTTAATTGTTATAGTCCTTATGTATGATTGATTAGTGCGCAATAATTAATTATTCATATAGGCTATTTTGCTAAATAGAGGTAATTGAATCCGTAATTGTTCGTTATCTCTATCTTAGTAGCAATTGGCGTAATTGGGTTTATGTCAGGGGAGCATACGATCTAGTTTAAACAAACCCTCGTAGCGTGTTTATTAGTTAGGATTGGGCTTTTCTAATTATTAATGCAATCTAGAAATTAAATCCTACGGTCGTACCTAGGGTTGTTTCCGGGTTAGAGAAATAGTTAACGGTCGTACCTTAACTATCGAGAAATTAAGGAAAGATTGGTTGTTTATCGCGTGCATGACAACTATAATTAATCTATTGATAGATGTTGGAATTATCTGTGAATCGATGATCAGTGCATGAACCATTTCTGAAGTGCACCATTGGCTAGAGCTCTCCCAATTATTTCTGTTAATTAAATTCTTTTTTGCATTTGAGTTATTTAGTTTATTAGCATTTAATCCTAAAACTCCCTATTTATCTTTACTCTAAAGGGAGCAAATTTCTGCCCAATCCCTGTGGATTCGACCCTAATCACCACTATATACAAAATTTGTATTTTTCTTGAGTAGGTAATTATTATTGTACAGGTTCGGCACCTGTCATCTGTTCATGTAATTTATCTACTCAAAACTAGATCTTTTAATTGCTACATACGGGAAGTGAATAAATTTAAAGCAAATGGAGGATCAAAGCCTATCAAAACACAATTAATCTACTATAAGAGGCTCCCACAATGTCCCTTGACAAGGAGTCCTTAACAGGAGCAGTGGACGAGGAAGGACCGTTGGACCTGGTTGCAAACTCAAACTCATTCTCACCAAAACATCTGCACACTGATTTTCTTTCCTTCAAAAGTGATCTAGCGTGTGCACTGCCATCCCTAATTCAGTAGCTCATCTGTAATTCAATAGCTCTTGAATTTGCCAAATAAGGTTTGAATGCGCTTGGACAGTTTTTTGGAAAACCAAACAGATGGCCTTAGATAAATTCTACTTTATTTTGACTGTAAGTCCCAAGCAATTAGAAGTCCTCTCCATAGAGCCATAATTCTGCAATAAGGTTTGGCACGAACCCAATATTTTGGGAGATTTACTATTCAGTGTGAAAGATTGTATGCCATATGTTGTCACGAACCAAAATGGTCCCAAAAAAAAAGCAAGGGAGGAAACATCCTAGAGTGCAAATATTTGTTGAACTTGACTAAGGAGTTATTTTCTTAGACATGCCTGGATACTGTCATACTTGTCCCTAGATAATGTACTAGAATTAAGCAACTTACTTTACACCGAACATGATTTAAGATCTTAAGCAATAACTAACTTAAAGTGAAAATACAAATAATAGTCAAGTCATTTTTTTTTCATTTTAAGCAACCACTATTAACCACTAAGATTAAACTTGATTACATTTTTCTTCTTAAACCAGCACGGCAGTGTTCTTGATCTGCAAGAGTATGGCAGGATTGGCATTTGGCAGTAAGTTCAATTGTTTCCAAAAGTGAGTCCTAATGCAACCAAAAAAGGAAGGAAAACAAATGGTACCATAACTTCCCCTAATCCATTTTTTATCTTCGATTAGCCCATAGCAATGATGATGCTGGAGGTCAGGGGCTCAACTCCTGCCTCCTACAAATTTGTTACAATATGTGGCTGGTCTTAGTTGACCATCTCCCTTTACCTTTTCTCCTAGATTAGGCTAGATTAAGACATCTATCGTTGCAGGGAAAAAAAAAAAAAAGATTAGCCCCTAGCAATGAAAAGTGCATAATTTAAGGATTCTAGCCCTTTAGACGTAAGTCCAATCGAAGTCGAAGGGTATTTTGTCTAATCATAATCAAAAGCATCGGAAGCATATGCTTATTCTGTAAGGATGTCTGAGCAGAACTGCCGGCCACCTAGTGTTTTAGGGCAAGTACTTCACATCCTAAAATTTACTGTGCTAATGTCGATGGTTGTAGGGAAATGAGAATTAGTAGAGAAAATTTGCTCTGAGCATTCACAGGTTATTATTGGGGGTCTTTCATATCTAATGTAAGCATTTTCAATCTGTGAATTGAGCCCCTCTGTCTTCTTAAAGCAGCCAGCCCTTGAATTGGTCATAGTGTGGCTCAATTTGTTGGGACCTGGAAATCTGGAGACCAAAAACAGTTTATAGATTGATAAACAAATTTTGGCTCATCAGATAACGATCTGGCTTCTATTAGCTTTTTGAACTTGTTCGACCTGTATGTAATTCTTGTGTAGAGTACATGTTATATCGGGCAATAGAATTGGCAGTATAAACTCGGGCGGACTGCTCCACCAGATAAAGGAATCCTTCTCCTTTTTTTTTTTTTGGGCTAATTAGAATCCTTCATCTTTAGCATATTGAGATAGTGCTTCCATTAAACTTCATACTTACCCAATCAACATTTATTTTTTGATAAAAAAAAAATATTTGGGTGCTTTCGACTCCGATATTCAGTAAGCATAATTGACCGCTAAGCAAAGTCTTAGCATACCAATGAACAAAATGTCATTCTTTAACGTGTACGCTTATAACTGATACTATTTAATTTTAATTTAAGTAACCTTTTCCTCCCAAAATAAAAAAATCATTCTATTTTTCTTAAACTTAGAATCTAGGGCAAATTATATTTTACCCCCTTGTGGTTTAGTATTTTTTTACATAACCCCCTTATGATTTCAAAAGCTATACATAACCCTCTCATGATTTGAATTAAAGTATCAAAGTGACAGAAATAGTCATTCGTAACGGAACTTCTAAAAATGTCGTAATTACACTTATAAATACATGACACACTAATCTCGTATGATTTTTATATTTTACTATATAACTCGCTTATGGTTTAATATTTTATCATATAACCTCCTTATGGTTTTCAAAATATACACATAACCCCCCTTGGTTAATAAATAATTTTCAACTTTACATAAGGGTATTTTTGACATTTTAGGTGATTCCGTTACGAATGATCATTCCCGTCACTTTGACACTTTAATCCAAACTATGAGGGGGTTATATATAATTTTTGAAATCATGGAGGGGTTATATAAAAAATGCTAAACCACAGAGGGGTAAAGTGAAATTTTCCCTAGAATCTATTCACTTCATTTTGTTTCTTTTACTCTAGAACTCCCAAACTTGGCTCTAAGGGCTTAGTGGAATCTTTCTTTGTTAAACAAAGCAATAACTAAATCGGGTTCCTAATTCATCTTCCATCTTCTATCAATTTCCTTTACAAATTAGAGACAAGTAATCACAAACAAATAGAAATAAAAATCATTCATAGTTCGCGTCACAAAATTCACTAGGAGTTCCTTATTAGCAAATTCTTCAAAAGAAAGTTTGAGATCGTTTTTCAGATTGCTTATTATTTGTATGACTTGTGATTGTTTCCATTTGAAATCTCAGCTACAAAACTTAGATTAGAATTTTATTTTCTGTGCTCAATATATAATTTGTTTACCAGTTGAGTTCAAAAGCATAATATGCATAATATCTTGTACATTTAGGCCCAAATCATGAATATAAATTGTATGATTTGCAATTTTGGCATGATCTGCAAATGTAACTCAATTATAGAACATGTTACTGTAATATTTTAGCTCCTTGTAAGATTAAAAATAAGTACTCGACAATCTGT